ATTTCCACAAGTTGTCAGTTGGCACTGCCACGACAAGGGGGATGAGACGAGAGCAGAAGTGAGAGAAAATCCAAGTCCAAGGTTGTTCCCAGCACTCGAAGCGTTCGATTCAAATCAAGAATATATGTCTGAATCCCAAGAAGGGGAAGGACATGGCGTCATCTAAAGTGAAAACATATTTTTGCTTTCTGCCGTTCGGGTGGTTGGATGCCTTGGCAGCGTTTGCTGTAACAATAACCTCCCTTTGCATTGATGTTGCGGGTCCACGCGCCAACTTGCTTGCCCGCTGTTTTCCCAGAGAGGGCCTCGCTGTTCTCATCCACGCGCTTGGCAGACGACGCCAGCGGCTCTGACACCATTCTGACCAGGAGAGGAATGCGCCGGACTCGGGGCCTGGTTAACTTCTTCACCCACACACTTTTTTTTATGCTGGCCGCTCAGTGTCTGACACTGAAACTCTTGAGCTCCTTAAACACAAAGTGCACAGGCGCCCGTCTGTTCTCCTGGCATCTTCTCCGTCTTTGGGTCCCTTTATGGAAATGTTTGGCAGCGAGACCACCTCTTTGTGGCGCGTGTGTGAATGTTGTCCGTAAGCACAGAGGACAGCTGTAAAGCAAAGTCAAGTGAAGCATTCGCACAGCGTCTGCCCAAAGAGTGTACGTAAGAGCGAGATTGATGAACTCTGCTCTTTCCCATCAGCTGCAGCGCGCTGGAGGTCGAGAGGAGCTCCTCCCAGCTTTGGGACCTATTAGCATTTGGATAAGCCTAGAAGACTCCCAGTGACCACGCAACACACTTGAGCGCCTGGACCAAGTGCTGCCGCTATAAGCAGAGCTTTTCATAGTTCAGTTGTGCAGAAATGGCTCCTGAAGGTCCTCAGAACAATTTCGACTTGTTGAAAGTAACATAGCAGCTTCTTGGTGCTTCCTTCTGGTCGCTGAGAACAACAAATTAATGTGCAACAACTCATAAGTACACTGTCTTTCAAACATTTAAACCTCACGTACTAATAGTTTTGAAGTTCTACAGCTTTTTGGTAGCAGTGTTTGCTGTTTTAGCTCCATTTTCTCACATATGTAAACATTATTATTAGTATTTAACAAATTTTGGCTATTTATTTGCACTGGAAGGAATACAGTTTAGGTAGAAGCTCTGCTCATTGTCCCGTCTGCTTGCAGACACATCTGGAAACTCCAGAAACAAATCTGACTTTCAGTGTGTCGTCGGTTCTTTCCATCTGTGTGGGTGTAAGTTAGCGATGGACTTCCTTGACTTGTCTGTACAACTTCTGATTGACTTTGTTTTGCAGTATAGTAGAACTCTGCCAGAGCAAACACCTTAAAAAGCAAAATGTGTGTACTTATAGATTAAGAATTTAGTTCAATACACTGTTGTGTTCAGATGGACAAATCAGCTTCTGAGCAGTTTTTAATTTTTTAAAATGTGTATATCTTGGTAGTGAAGACCCCACAATTGTCAAGAGTACAAATATTTTTCTAAAACGTGCTCACTTTGGGGATAGTTTTTGTAATTTATACAATGTGTCTTACAGAATTGTTTTAGATGATGCAAAATCCCTAAGAAAGTCTTTAGAGAGTGTGTGTGTGTGTGGTTTTTTTAGTATATCAAAGTTTGTGTGTGTGTGTGTGTGTGTGTGTGTGTGTGTGTGTGTGTGTGTGTGCGTGCGCGCGCGCGCGCACTCACGTGTGTGTGTGTGTGAGTCACTGGCTCCTGTGGGTCTGTCTCTACAGAGCCACAAATAAACAGCAGTAAGCCAGCTGGATACGGGGAAGAGCACAGGCTTCTCTTAGTCTGGATTCGGGTTAATATAATTCAGACGAAAATGGGTAAACACCTCTACTCGCACATGAGCAAAAACACACACCCTGTAAAGTTCCTCAACTTCTCCGCCAAGGTGTCTGTGGTGGACATCACAGTTATTTTTGTCAGTTTCAGTAGTGCAACGCTGACGTGTCTGCACGAAAGTGACATCTCCGACTTTGTGATCACACGTTTTTGTGGCAAAGGTCATGCAATGATTGGTGCGGTCCACCTGAGCTGTTCTAAAGCGAGGAACCTCTAAAAAAAATCATAAAAGATGGAAAAAATTGAAATTGATCTGATTAGTGCACGAGGAAAGCAGTTTTCTGCAAAAGGATTCTTGATGCTCTCAAGAAGACCTCTTCATCTCCATGTGTATCTATGTGTCAGAGTTGGTTGAAGACGTCCTGTAACCACAAGGTCAAAGGTCTAAGCTTTACAGCTGCAGATGTGTCCATCATCAGCCATCTGTCCTGTCTAAATGTCCTTGAAAAGGAGTCTGGACCTCTACCTGTTCTCTTTACTCTGAGCTGACTTTTGTTGATCGGCCGTACAAGAGCATCATCTGACTCCTCTGACGAGACATTTTTGTCCAGTTTAACTAAATTAGACCAACTGATTGTCAACATTGTTGAGCTCTACCCAGATGCTGACCTCGCCTTGACTTGGTTCTAATCATCCAATCAAGTCTCAGAAAGGCCAGCCTCTGTTCGTTCTTGTAAAGGCATCAGTTCTAGGGAAAGGCCCGTCCTTTTGGCGTGTCATCTCAGCGCTGGACAGCTGGGCTGATGGATGAGCGGGGGGGTAAGTAGGGCTTGATCTGGAAAGAGGGAAGGTTATGCAAGATGTAGAGGGAGGGAGGGTGCATCTATTGAGAATATGACGACGAGTTTGGATGACAAATGAAGGCATAGATGAGAAAAATGTCTCCTTTCTGATCAAGTCTCATCATTTATCAAAGATCTGCCCCCTTTGGAGATGAATTCCTTCTGGCAAAAGTAAATTCACATTTCATATTTGCATGTCTGAATGATGAGATCAACAAGATGTTCTTATTGCTCCAAGTTATTGAAGCTTCTACCCTTGGGTTTAGATGATTCTGACCTTGATTGTTTTACTTGATACCATCTTAGAACTTTTAGAGCTTAATGAGATCCTATGCAACTTTTTAAAAAATTATCTTGAGCCAGTATGTGCTAAAATGACCTTTTACATGGTTAATGAAATGTCACTCAGACCCCCACCGCCCCCTGTAGCCAGAATATGTCACTTGCAACTTCAGAGGTACCGGTCCAATCTGTTTGACTTAGAAAAAAATACCCGGCACTGGAGTCTGCTTCCAGCACATTTCCTGCATGTTTTAGATCATGAACACAGCTGATTTGTTTATTTTAGTGATGAACTGCTCCTGTGGACACTAATGAAGGCTGAGGAGACGTTTCAGCTGTTAGAATAAGGCGTTAAAAGATGAACACACAGCGAGGAGATAAGTTTTGCTTTTGGTTCTGCTAAACGGGCACAAGGGGGTGCTAAAAGTAAGCCACAACTGCCTGGTCCCCTTTAACTCCTGATAATTTAGAATTCGTACCAGGGCTGCATCCAAAGTCAGGGGTAGCATCCTTGTGAGGACTCGTTCTAACCAGTCCACCAAGTCCGCGCAGGTTAGGTTCTTCATCAACTGCTTAAGCTGAAAGTGAGCGTCTGAATTGGGATGATCTAGCCTTCATAATTATTCCCACCCTTACTTTGTGTATGTCCAGTCACCTTGCAACCATGACGGTACTAGTCATACATACTAAACTTAGCAGTAATACATGAAGAAACACAGACCCGCCATACGACTCGTAATCGTTTTCTTATCATTTTTATTTAAAGTGACAGTGTGTATTCTCCCTGGCGATAGGGGCCAGTACTTACCTAAATCACTGCAAGCAAGCATCATTTTTGTGTTCAAATAAGACCTTACCAACAGATGGCCATTAGGGTCAAAAATCACTAGGAGTGCAACCTCCAGCAAAATAACAAGAACATCAGATTCTCTTTCATCACTCGCAACGAGCGAAGAGGTAAATGTGTAAGACAAAACGTCTATTATTGGTGAAAGTTTTGTAACCATTTCTTACAAATCAGTAAACGTGTTTTGTCCTCACAGGCTTCCATAGAAGGAAACATGGCATCCAATGTGACTTAAACCAGCTCCATGTATTTTAGACCAGATTTTTATGGTTATACATTATGAAACTGCCAATATTTTTTAGCAACTGGGCATCTTTTAATTAATTTACAGCAACATTTCGATGGATCTTTCCAGAGATTAATGATAAAAACTACACATTGTCATTTTCAAGAAGAAATATGCACACAAAAAAGCTCTACAACATGGCAAATATTAATAATAAAACTGTAAACTGTCCCCAGCTTCGTCCACCATTATAACCAAAACAAAAAATTTTCATTTGGCGCGCAGTGAAGCCTAGGATAGCTTTTGCTAATGAGGACACACCCTTTAAAATTGGGGAAACCCATTAAAGATGCATTATGAGTATCCCTTGAATTTGGACCGCCACTGTGACGTAAACGCCCATAAATACGTATATTTCAAGCATCCGGTTGAGTTACTGGTTTTAGATAATTCCAATAATCTGCATTTTTAAACTGCATTTAAAGACTGTTGTGGTCATTTGTACAGAGTAGGCCAGCAACACTATATCACAAAGTTATGGAACAATCTCCACACAGGGCGTTTGTTTAGGTTCTCTGATAACAAACGCCATGTTTAACCGCAGCAGAGCATCGTGACGTGCTTCCGTCTGCTGCTTGCTAAATTACTCTGATTGTCATCTTCTCAGGTTTCCTTCTCTGCTTCGAAAAGATAACATCCCTCACTTTATCTGCCCTCGAACATCCCCCATTTCACTATCTTGCCTTCTCTAAATCCAGTTATCTCTCTGCTCTCACGATGATGATGACCGTTGGTGTATCTTTTTAATCTTAGCAGTGCTGCTTGCGATTTCCTCTTTTTTTTTTTTTTTTTTTACAGTTGTAACACTTTTCTGTTTCTGTTTTTGAACATCTGAATTTGGTGTAAACTGAGATATTTATTTGTTGAGTTTATTGTTTTATTTTTAGCGCAGGCTTTTTAACTTTTAAGTCCTTTTTTTTTATGTTTTTGCTGGAAGAATCTCCAAAAACATCCCCACCACCAAGGATGTAGAGCCTCTGCTGGAGATCGATGGAGACATCCGTAGCTTTGAGGTCTTCCTGTCCTCCAGGACGCCGGTTCTTACTGCCAGAGATGTGGAGATGTTTCTTCACTGCACCGTCAACCTGGACCCCAAGCTCAGGGAAATCATAGCAGGTTGGTACAAATTCCCTCGTAAAACAGAAAAATTAACTAGATTTGGATTTTGTAAATATCTGTACTGGGATTTCTCCTCGGCCTGAAAATATTCCCATTTTGTCTACTTTTTAAAGTTTGAACTTCAAATGTGACTTGGCTGCTTCTGAAGCTTTACAAACCATCTGCATTCTTAATTAGAATTGAAGAAAGTAGAATTTTCACAGCATCACGTCAGCGTTTGCCCTAAAACTGCCCGCTGCCGTGACTTTCGAGGACCCATAGCCTGTTTCTCATTTTCAAACAATCAAATGTCAAACAGGTTTTTAATCCCACAACTGTGAATCCAAGACAATGTTCTCGTTTCGCAGTCACCCGTCTGCCTGCATTGTTGCACCAGAAACTTCACAGTTCTGTTGTTTCTGTGACATAAAAGTGCAGAAGTATTCAGCTCGAGGGCTGCGCTTCGCCCGCCATGCGTCAGCGGCCTTTCAGCTCGTACAGGAGTGTCAATGACGCCTAGTGTGAAGCTGCTGCATCACAGCGTTGTGAGACCACAGAAAACACACACACACACACACACACACACACACACACACACACAGAGAGAAGGTCTGTTCCCCTCAGTCAACCTTGACTCACGGACGGCGCAGCTGATCAAGCTCCCCAACCAGATGTCCCGTTTGTAACTGCCGACTCATTCCCTGAAGCTGCTGAGGTGTGGATGCTCTAAAGTGTGTGTGTGTGTGTGTGTGTGTGTGTGTGTGTGTGTGTGTGTGTGTGTGTGTGTGTGTGTGTGTGTGTGTGTGTGTGTGTGTGTGTGTGTGTGTGTGTGTGTGTGTGTGTGTGTGTGTGTGTGTGTCACCTTCACACACGTCCACGAGAAGCAGAAGATGACCAGCACTCCTGCCCAGTCATCTCTGCTCTCCCATGGTGGCTGATGCCCGGTGTCCTGCGGCCAGCCAGTGGGCCTCGCCATCAGTGATACCCGACCCTGAGCCTGACTCGCATCATAAGGGATCCTTTGTGTTCACGGGGCTGGATTGGGTCTCACTCAACGTGTCATTCAGCAGCCACTTGTATAACCGGGAGACATTCTGGTGCCTGCTTCTGTTTCTGGGTCCTTCACACAGAGCCTGTTCTGTCCTCTGGTTTTTTTTTTCTTTTCCCAAAAGCTTCCCACTTTTAGCTCCATCTCAAAGTCAAACAGATTTATGAGAAAACAATTGTTACAAAGTACTTCTATTATTTAACGAGTTCACGTGGTGTTTGTGTACACGGGCTACTTTGTTTGTTTGGGACAGGGAGAGCCTACGTGTGCGAGAGTCATCACTTGGCCCGGCGTGCAATTGGGAGAAACGGATCATATCAACATGCCTGCTGTTTGCAAGCAGACTAATTCAAAAGAAATTTAAATGGGGAATTGAATTCACAACTGAAACTTTCTTTAATTAACTCCAGTTTTCTTAAAACTCCTCTGACTGTTTTTTTGTTTAACATGTTGGGAATAATGTTCTTGTTGTAATTCCCTGGAGTGTTCCGAGTTTCCAGGAATGTTCCTGTTTGATATGAGATTCATAACTGTCTAAACCCCCCCCAGAGACGAGAAAACGAGCTGAGTTATTGATGCGTGGGCGGATCTGAGAGTCTTTATAGTCATCTCTGAGATGTGACCATCACAGATAAACACTTCTGCCCCTAGATGTGCGTGCGGCCAGGGAGCAGATTCATATGGGAGGAGTGACCTATCCCACGCTGCCCTTCCAAGAGACGATGCCCCGCCCCCAACCAGTGTACGGTCAGCCCTCTGCAGCCTGCACACCAACGGGCTCCTTCGCCGGATCGCTGCCTCCTCAGCCCCACAGCTCCTACTTCAGCGGGATCAACGGCCCGCAGCACCCCTTCTACAACCGGGTGAGGCTCCTCAGGTCCAGTCTTCGGCCCACTGCTGTTTGCAGCAAATAGAAAACAAGTCATTTCATTTTAACCTGTGTGCCTTTCCTCATATTATTTTTATGATTTTACATTGTTTCATTCAACTCCTCCACCCCTTCCATATTCTTTTGTTTTGTTTTTTTCTTCCCTTGTAGCCTTATTTCCCCCATCATGTGTATCAACTGCCTCGACATTACTCCCAACCCGTCCCCCCGTCCACACGCCCTCCCATTAAACCACCCAGTCAGCCTCAGGACACCAGTGGACTCGTAAGTAAAGAAACACAGCGCTGGACTCTTTTAACACATGCAGATGGGTTTTATAAGAAACAGTAAACCAGTATCAAGTCCTTCCTTTTTTATTGCTTTTTTTCCCCCGTCACCTTTCTGATTTCATTTGCTCTATTTTCTATTCTGCGTTTTGTTGATTTAATTGTTTCTAATACACTCAAAATTGTCATTTTTAAACCATCTCTGCTTCCACTCTCTGGCTGTGTTAGTACATTAGAACAGAGGATATCCTCCGACAGAACTTCCAAAATGTTCCGGGGGAGGCGGGGGACATTGAGTCTGAATGGACCCTGTTCCATGCCTCCATTGTTGGTTGAGGCGGCTGACCGGAGCTGTGGTCGCAGGATCGTCGGTGCCTGTCGTGGTGGCACCCCCCGAACCCGCTGGTGGACACCAGCAGTTAGGGATGCTGTCAAGCTGAAGAATGAGTCATATCA